TCTTTAGTGGTTGCACCAGGTATTACAATATGTATATGGTAATCTACTGGTATTGATATTTTCCTTACTTTCATATAGGTCTCTTTATCCTCTACAGTTTTAAAATATAATTGCTGTACTTCCTCTACATAAACTTCACTAAGATGGTATTATAATTTTTGATCCAAACATCAAATATGATTTAAAAAATTAATGAGAATAGGATGGACTCTTATTATTTACCCCTCCCTTTACTCACTTGGATGTTCTTCTTTCCTTTCGGAAGTTCTAAGTTTCTATTATCATTTCCTTTATGATTATACACCTTCCTTTAGCTATTCCTTAATCATAGGTTTAGTAGCAATGGATTCTTCTAGTTTTTCTTTGAGACTTGTCTTTATTTCCCTTCAATCCTAAAGGATATTTTTGCTGGATATAGGATTCAAGATAGTTGTTTTCTTTTAGTTTTTTTTTTTTTTTTTTTTTTTTTTTTCTCCCAGCACTTAAATAATGTGCCACTTCCTTCTGGCCTCCATGGTTTCAGATGAGAAATTTGATTCATTTGAATTAATGTTCCCATGTGTGTTTTCTCTGTTTCTCTTTCAAGATTTTTGTCTTTAGTTTTTTTGCAGTTTAGTTATGATGTGTCTTGGCATGGATTTCTTTCAGTTATACTACTTTGGGTTCATTCAGCTTCTTGAATTTGTAAATTTATGTATTTCACCTCATTTCTTTTAATGCTTCTCCCTCCCCCTCCCCCCACTCTCTTCTCTCCTTCTGAGATTCTGACAAGAACTTATTTTATTATTGTCCCACAAGTCACTGAGACTCTGTCCTCTTTTTTATCTTTTCCCTAGTTTATCTCCTCTATGCTGTTAGATTGGGTAATGTCTTTTGTATTTCCTCAAGTTTACCAGTTCAATCCTCTGTCATCTTTATTAGTGATTATATCCAGCAAGGTTTTTTTTTTAATTTTTTTTTTTAGATCTTTATTTACTTTTGAAAGAGAAAAAGAGACAGAGCATGAACAGGGGAGGGGCAGAGAGAGAGGAAGACAGAGAATCTGAAGCAGGCTCCAGGTTCTGAGCTGTCAGCACAGAGCCCAACGTGGGGCTCGAACTCACAGACAGTGAGATCATGACCTGAGCCGAAGTCGGAAGCTTATCAACTGAGCCACCCAGGTGCCCCCAGCAAGGTTTTATTTGTTATTGTATTTTTTAGTTTTATAATTTCCATCCTTTATTATATATTTTTTGTAAGACTTTCTAGGTTCTCATCTGTTTAAAGAGATTTCAATTTTCTTGTTGAAGCATTGTTATGATGGTCACTTTAGAAACTTTGTCAGGTAATTCTCAAATCTGAATCGTCTTAATGTTATCATTTGTTGACCAGCTTTTCTTTTTCATGTTCTAATTGTCCTCATTCTTGGTATAATGAGGATTTTCTATTGTAGCCTAGATATTCTGCGTATTATAAGACTCTGGATTCTAGTTAATCTTTTTTTAGCAGGAAGACCCCCTGTTGCTGTGTAGTGTGAGGGCTGAGTGGGTGTGTATGTTTAACTTCTCATCTGGCCCTGCTTACAACATCCCACCAAAATTGTGGACACTGACACACTGCCTCGATGCAGATGGGTGGTGTGGAAGTTCGGTCCCCTCAGTCCATGACATTTCCCATGAAAGTGAGGCACCAACTTACTCTGCTCTTTGCCTCAGCAGGGTATAAGATCAGCTTCCTGCTCGGCCCTACTGACACTAGGGAAGGAGAAAGCAGAGGGATGACTCATATCACTTTGTTTCTACAGGATGGAGAGCAGGGGCTCCCTGTTGGGCCCCTGTGGCACCACCTGGGGTGAGGGGAGAGAATAGAGTGCCAGCTAGCACCAAGGGTGGAAACTCAGCTCCCCATGAGGAGAGTAGAAGTGAAACCCATATTGAGTAGTCCCAAGTTAGATTACCTTAAGTTTCATTGATGCTGAGTAGAGGCAGAGGCTTAGATTGCTGCTAGATCACATTGACACTATCCTGGCAGAGGAACTGTAACACTACCTACTTCTGTCCCGTGGGGAATGGAAGACCAGCTGCAATACTACCTCAGTAAAGAAATCTGGTTTGTGCTATCTGCTATCATACCACCTGGTTCCAAGGGGTGGTATGGGACCATTGGTGCTTGACTAGAGTAAGTTGGATAGTGCCAAAAAAGTTTTCTGTTGTTATATTTTCCTTTTCCTGATCCTTTGACTAGAGCAAACAGGCTTTTCTTGGGCTTCCCCCCACCACCTCTGCCTCTTGGCTATTCCAGGTTGGTGATTTCTGCAGCACTCGGTCTAGGATATATAGGAGGAAATAAGGAAAATTCATGCCATATCATTCCTCAAGTACCAAAGCTTCTTGACAGTCTGCTTTCTTCTACCTTTTAGAGCTTCCTATGGTTGTTTGTTGTATTATGTCTTGGGTAGTTTAGTAGTAAAAAGGATGAATGGCAAGGAATAGAGCTACTTCTTAGTAGAACTAGAAGTCCCTCTGTTATAAGTAATTTTAAACCCTTCACATTAATCTCTACTCTCCATTAGCTAGCAATGTCTGACATGTGTTGGTATCTTCTACATGTGCCTTCCCTAATTCTTCTCACACAGTAGGCCCTTGATAAATGTTTGTTGAATATTCTACATGGAGGGCTCATTGTATGAAGATATATGTGTCCCCTAAAATGGTCAAGCATACAAGGGCACCTGGGTCAGCTATCAGAGTTGAGGAAGGATACCCTCAGATGGTAAAGGAGAGAGACAGCTCATCTGCATGGATGACATTACTTTTCTGATCTCTGATACTATATAACACATATCTGGATTGGTCATTGCCTTCTAAGCTAAAATACAAAGTTTTGAACCCTGAAGTGTGGGTTCTTAAGTGACTGTAGCCAGTTTAGATTTGTCCAAGCTACCTTAGGTCTTCACCTCCTTAAACTTGAAGGATCTAACTCCAGCAGGGATAAGTTACAAAGTGTTTGTAACTGATACTATGTTGCCAAATGCTACAGCATCCAGTTCTTCCTAAAAATTCCTTCAAGGATGAATGATATAATATGTGGGAGAAAATTTAAGACTTAAATCTGCCAAATATTTCTGCAACTCCATAATTAGTATTGTAGACTCCTTATTCTAAGATATTCCCTAGAACTTGTCTATTCTCCCTACTAGCTCTAGCAACTAATGGATTTCAAATTAGACTTCGTGGACAACTGGTATCTGTTGCATTACTATTTATTAAAATAATGTGTTATAAATCATGTTATTATTCCAAATGATACTGGTTGGAGATAGTGATTAGTATAAAAAGAGTAAAGCAAGGCCACTCATTTTCTCCTATTAAGTCAGAATTTTTAAGTCTTAGATATTTAATACTTAAGATTGTTAAGGGATGGGAATGCAAGCTGATGCAGCCACTCTGGAAAACAGTATGGAGGTTCCTCAAAAAACTAAAAATAGAACTACCCTACAACCCAGCAATTGCACTACTGGGTATTTATCCAAGGGATACAGGTGTGCTGTTTCGAAGGAACACATGCACCG